CCGTAGCCCAGGGAGCTCAGCTCCGGCGGCTTGCGCTTGGCCTCGGGGCCCCCCCCCGCCGGCTCCATGTCGGGGCCCGCGTGCTGCTGGTGCCGGATGCGGGCCACCTTCTGCACGCCGGGGCCCGTGGGCTCCTTGCCGGCTTTGTCTAAAGTGCAGCAGGCCTGGCTCAGCGCCACGCACAGGCCCTCCGGGGGGTTGGCGCGGGCGCAGTCGGGCCCCGGCGCCATCTCGAAGTAGCCGCCCTTGTCCAAGCCGCCCTTGGGTGTGGGCGCGTAGGGGGCTTCGGCGCCAGTGCCGCCCAGGTACTCCAGGCCCTTGAGGCGGGCACCAGCACCGGGGCCCCACTCCAGTCGCCGCTCCACCTTGGCCTCGGCCTTGAGGGCATGGAAGGAGTTGGCGTAGGCGCTGGCGCCGTGCTCGGGCCCCAGCTCGCCGTGCCGGTCCTTGACCTCGGCCCGCTCCAGCCCGCAGGGCTCCGAGGGCACCTGGAAGGACCGGCTCTTGTCGGCCAGGTGCCCCACGGAAGGCACGAGCGTGGCCCCGCTCATCTTCAGCTCCCGCCCGGCCTTGTCCGGCAAGGGGCAGAGCCCGTTGGGGCCAGCGTGCAGCTGCAGGCAGGGGAAGGAGCCGGCCGCGCTGCTGAGCGGGGGCGGCCTGGCGGGCAGGCTGGGGGGCACCGTGTAGGACACGGCGTGGTGCAGCATCTGCCGCCGCTCCACGCCCTCGCCGTAGGGCTGGGGCGACTCATGGGGAGCCAGGTCCCGCTCCTTGGTGCAGCGGCCGGGGGGCATGGTGCCGTGGCGCGGCAGGGCCCCGCCGCCGGTGCAGCTGGGCAGCAGGGACTTGGTGGCATCAGCAGCCAGCACCTTGGCATTCACCAGGCAGGCGGGGAGGTGCTTGGGCCGCGTCTCGCAGGCGCCGCGTGGGGGGGGCCCCTCTTTGCAGTGCCCGTCGGGCACCAGCGGCAGCACGGCCTTGTGCCTCTCCTTGCCGTCCTCCTCGGGCGCCCGCTCCTTGGCTTCGCCCTTGCCGCCCTTCTCCTTGGCTGCCAGGAAGCGCTCGTAGTCCTTGTGGGCCTTGGGGCCGTGGCTGGGCTCCCGGTCCCGGCTGCACGAGCCCACAGGGTGCCCCGGCGCTGCCCGCGCCATGCTGGGGAAGTTGTGGTTGGTCGACAGCAGGGCGGGCTGTGCCGGCAGGTTCCTCAGGTAGAAGTTGTCTGGGGGCAAAGCATGGGGGTTAGTGGGCATGGGGGGGGCACGGGGTCCTCCTGCCCACCCCAGCCTTGCAAATGCACTGCTGGGACCTGGTCAAACCCTCCCCGGGGGGTAAAGTCCCATGCCACTTCCCTGCACAGGAAGCAGGGGGGCAGCTCGTTAGCTGCCCATCCAAGACGAGCCCCCCACCCCCGAGTCAGGGGTGCCAGAAGATGCCGCGGTGTGGGGGGGACGTGGCACTGGCTGCTTCGGGCTGGGGGCAAGGCTCAAACGCCCGTGTGCGAGCGCCCAGGCATGCAGAGGGCAGGTGCCTGCCCTGGTACCTGCCTTTCTGGCTTTCATAGAAGCGATGCTGGCCGTAGAGGACGTTGCCGTTTCCATGGTGATCCAGGTGGCTCATGGGAAGGAAGGTGGAAGCCAGGCTCCCCGAGAACCTGGGGTACCCCGGGGCTGCGGAGGCAAGTGCAGGAGCTGCAGAGGCCAGGAAGCGGCAGCACAGAGATGGGGCCATGGGCGGGTGTGCGGCACATCTGCACCACGCGGGCCTGCACCCAGGCACACCCATGCACACGTATGTATGCCTATTACATGGACATGCACCTATGTGCACCACGCAGACATGCACACAGGCACATGCGTGCATGCACAGGTGCACCACACCGGCATGCATCCAGGCACACACATACACACGCATACCATGTGGGCATGCACCCAGGCACATGTGGGCATGCAGATGCATGCCACACGAGCATGCACCCAGATACCTGCGTGCATGCCAGGGGGACATCCCCCAGCAGTAAATCGGCACTTTTTGCAGCTGCACAAACCCACCCCTCCCTCATGGCAGATGCCCAAGGGGGGTTTCAGCAGCCCCCAACCTCCAGCCAGGAGCCCTGAGTTCCCTCTGGTCGGGGCTGGCAGGTGGTCTGAGCCGGGCAGGGCGGCAGTGCCCACCCCTGGAGCAGCGGGCGGGTGCTGTCCCTCTTTAATGGGCAGCTGGTAAAAGTTTTACTGACCCTCGTCTGAGCGAACAGGAGTCTGTAAATCCCTGGCCCAGACGCCAGCTCCAGCTGCAGACCCCGTAGTGACCCCTCTGCAGTTCCCGGCTCGTGCTAGAGCCCTGGGCTCGGCCCAGCCAGTGCAGGGTGCCTGGCCCTGGTCCCACCCCCCGGCCGGGGGCACAGCTGGTCTCTGCAGCCCCTGGAGAGGCCTGCCCATGCTCTCAGGCCCATCCTGGGGAGCAGGGGGCAGCTGGGCACAGGGAGGCAAAAGGACATGCCCAAGGTTATGCAGCAAGGCAGTGGCAGAGCAACCCAGGAGCCCTGCCTCCCACCCGTGCTGCAGCTCCAAGGTGCCCAACTCAGTGCAGCCCCCGCCGGCTCCGGCTGCGAGGGTCATGCCCCAAGCAGCCCCACAGGACGCCCCCCAGACCCTGCTCTCTTTTCATCCTGGGCGGGGGGAGTTACACCTACACCCCCACCCTGCAGGGTGCAGCTAGCCCACTCATGACATGAGTCTCAGGCCTCAGTCCTCTCTCGGCAGAGAGGACACAGCTGCCCACGCACAGGGCAGGGGGCCTGGGGGGAGGTCAGGGGGTGCCGGAGCCCCCAATCTGGCTGCAACAGTGCAAGCCTGCCCCGGGGCTGAGGCCAGGCAGACTCGCTTTACTTGTGACAGGCAGTGGAGGGTCTGCCCAGGAGCTAAGGGTTTCTTAGCCTCCTCCCCGCCGCCCAGCCCCGC